TTTTGTAAGCGAATCAAGTTAGTCACCCTGATGTAGAACTGTAAATTAACTGATACTGAAGGTAGAATGGTAGATAACCTGCTAGAACTCATTGGTTCTGGTTTTTGATGTCCATCTGGAGGTGTAAGAGAGGCTTCCAAAATCCATCCATTGAACTGAAAACTTCCTCACTGTGCACAGGGCGCTCCCGTCTGCCTGCCTGTCTATCCATCGTCCGACCGTCTGTCGCTCTATCACGAAATTCGGTATTACTTCAGGATGTATCTGGATAGGTCGGATTAAGTTCGAAATGTTTGGGCCAAGGGCAACATCAAAGAACATATGAGCTTAGGGGAAATCCTCCCCAAAGCAGTACGTCCAGAGGGCAGCTATAGGGGAAACATGATGGTTTTTCCGGATGACTGCCGACACCGGAAATAATGAGCAAAGGGCAGACACACCCGCGTTGGGCGGAGCTCCGAAAATGGGCTACCTAAAGATTAGTTTTCTAAGTCAATTCCGTTTAGGCCTAGAGGCTAGAAAGGGAAATTTCCAGAAATAGGCGAGGGCGATGGTGTGCTTTGCGTGACTAAGCCGAGCGGAGCTCCGCCTACGGTGGGCGGGGCCTGCTCATGAGTGGGATGGTTTTTTACGAAAATTCATTACTTTGCTCAGAGCGTTCTTTGTCGGTAAAGTAAGTAGCCCAAGAAGAGTGTGAAATTGTTAGAGAAGATGGATCCAGGTAGAATTATGACATTTTTTCGAAGCTTTTTGATTTGTTATGGATTTTGGAAGTTTCATACAACTCATCCATCATATAACCGTCATTGTATCCTATGTATGTTTCTTCTATTTGCTGTACAGTATATATTGGACCTGTTAATAAATATTAACTAATTGGAGTACCTTACTTTAGCTGTTTAGCGTCTTTCGCACCTTACTCTAGTGACCGGAAAATGCTCGTCGATAGCGGTGTGCCACAAACTCATCAGAGCAACGAATATGCTCTTCAAGAAATTTTGTGGCTCAGCGATACTATGAGATAATGAGCAATGATAATGGAATGTACCCGTCACTGAGTTCATTCGCTCGACTTTAGTTCCCTTCAAGGCACAGTACAAGATAATTTGCAGCATTCAATTTAGGACGGATTGTAGAAGTGATTATCCAGAATAATGCGAAAATGGGAAAGAAAACGCGGAAATCAGCGCATTCAGGAATTAGCGGTTGGACGAGAATGTGGCGACGGAAGTTGCGTGCAAGGGGCATTTGAACGAGTTGTTCAAATGTGTGTGCTATGGCGTATAGCTAGCTACAGTAAGCTTAAAGCATGTAAGGTTTGTATCCCAATGCGAGTAGTGCAACCTCAACAGACTTTACAAGGCAGTGAGAACTCGTCCGCCTGTTTAAGTCGGCCATGCCGGCTTTGGGACCCTTATTAAACAATACCTAGGCTGTTTTTCGATCCGACACCGTCTTTTGGGCTACCTTCAGGGGTCACAGGCCCATTCCAGTGAGGGTTCAGAAAAATTTGTATCGTGAACTATGGCTCTAACCGACTTCAAGGAACAGAAATGTTCGATTCGTTAGGAAAACGGTTACATTACTAGGATCAAGTGGAATCGGGCACGATCACTCATGCTGATCGTGTATAATTATTGCTTGAGGAACGATTGCTTGCTCAAAACGTTTTTGTGCTGAAGAAGCCAAGATATTGCGGGATGAAAGGGGGACCGTTCGATTTTCAGAGCTCACCGTCCTTCTCCCATTGCGATATGATATGAGCATGACAGTTGGAGTAGCCGGAATTGAAAAGGATCGACAGTAGTTGTTGATTATACCGGTAGGAACGTAAAGCGTCATAGAAGTGTTTGTAATGCCGTACATGATGAATGGGTGTTGTTTAATTCGTATAATTTACCTAAGAATATTGCGACGGTGAGTTGTCAATACAAGCAGAAGAGTACGAAATCGATCCGTCAGTCTCGCTGAAAACAATCGCTCCTTTACGATCTGGCTAGTTGAGCAACGTTTTCTTGTCTCGCTTATTTTCATTATCGATTTTCTTAAAGGCACAGTTCACGATAATTTTGAGGTACCCGTTTTTATTCGAAAAGCGGAAGAATAGGTTGGGAATAGTTCATACTTAGTGAAGAAAGCGAGAGAAATCGCCGATTTCGAGAAAAATATGGCTCCTAAAAATAGGGAAAATAGAGGTTTTGCGAGATTGCCATGACGGAAATAACATGGAAGTGGTATTCGGACGAGATTTCAGTTATAGCATTTGCGCAAAGAGCTGACTATACCAACCCAGAACATTACAGGACTGCTTTTTACTGTCGCTATGACTCATGACAAGTTGCTTGAACATCCTACATGGGTTCCCTTGTGATAGGCGCAGCCACTGCAATGCCGGTGAAACCCGTCCGTGGATACACACGGGCCAATCTTTGAGCCTTTATACCTCCCTAACTTGACCGTTTTCCAACCTACTAGTGTTAGATATAGTAAAGCGGTGGCCTCAAATTCATCCTGAGGGGGGAATCTCAGAAACCATATTTATCGTGAACTGTGCCTTTAAACTTGGCATAGAGGGTACTCTCGAGTAATACCTAACTCATGCTTTAGATAAAAGAGGAGAATTTGCTGGAAACACGGAGCCTCTGATGGTCATTGCGAAGACGAGGAGTAGCCGTGAAGTATGTGCCTTCAACGTGCGCAGGATTCTAAGATCAATCCCGGCTCAAGCTAACTTTTGGTTCCATCTATTTCTTCAGTACATCTCTTCTGATCGGTTAAGGCCTTTTATGTTTTTCCACTCACTTGGCATGGTTTGCTATTTTTTTGAATACTCTTTTGTTTGTACCGGAATGTCAATACTTAACGATAATAGTGCATAATTCTTGTATGTATTTTCAATGACGTCATAGAAATGAGCTACTCAGAATGCTGAAGCTTTCTAGAGCAATAAAGTATTTGATTGAATTGAGGTTTGCCTCAATCTCATACTAAGATTCTCGTGAGAGAATCCAATAATCGAACTTTTAGGAGATTCGAACCACCTTTGCGGTTCTCCGAAGCCCAGCATCTACAACACCGTAACTTACCTCCTGATGCTCCTCGGACGTGGCTTATGGAGTGAATTTACGAAGCGAGCTGTGTCGAACACCAACTCCATGAAGCCTGTATTTCTTCCTATCCCATCCAGAGGTTTTCCTCTTTCCGAATGAGTGGTATACGTCGGCGGCCATCCGTATAACTCCTTGTCGGTAAATACTCCTTGGTCTGATGGCGTAAACATGTCACCTAGGAGAAGGTTGGGGTCCGCATCCAGTCAGTCATACGACCTTGAAAAGAGCTGAGAGGAAATTGATGAGCTGCAATCAGAAATAAAAGCTAAAATTATGTCAAAAGGGAAAACGTTGATTCCCCATATCGGCCAGCATGTATCGGTGTTCGAACGGGGAATGTCCATATTGCCAACAGTCAATAATCAATGCGGCAGCGCTCCTTCAGTTGATCCCTTCTTTGATGTCTAAACACAGAACAGCAGTACTCGCTATTCCGCACCCTTCACCGAAGCATTCTCTGCCCCTCCTGTGGAATGATTTTCACCATGTGAACAGTACACAATACGGCACTCGTAGTTACCGTTTCCCACGACCACCCATTGTTTTAAGGTTGATCGTCCGCTGATCAGTTGTGAATAAATCGTTTCCTTGTTTGGTAGGGCGTAAAGCCAGCCAGCGCTCTCAGCAAGACTAGCTAAGTGTTGTGAACAAGCTGGCTTCGAGCTTGGAGTGGAGATCTAGGGCACGTAGGTTGAAGTTGAAAAGGCTGAAAGACACTTCTCGATGGAGTAGCTTGAATGGTGAAAACTAGAAATTTAAAGATATTGAAGTCAGGTAAAGAAGCCGGAGCTCGAAAGCCACAGCCCCGGCCCAGCTTCTTTACTCCAAAATTTTTTTTTCAAAAAAGTGCAGCATTTCCCCCAAAATAACCACAGCCCCGGCTTCACCCGGTGCTGAATGGCTCTGCGGTCCAGCTTCACCCGGAGCTTGTCCGAAGTGGGTTTGGTGGTGCCGAGCACCCGCCGGCCAGCGGCCGGGCTGGGTGGTCCCNCAAAGGCCTCCTCCAAGCCTTATTACCATGAGTACCGTATACTTTAGTTAATTTCCCTCGTGGGAGGTCCCTCGTGTAGAGGGCACAAAGAAAGAAGGTTGTGGAGGAGGGGAGGGATGAGGAATATCGAGTAGTACTGCTCGTGCTGGTCATAGAGTGGTAGATCAATTGCAGCAATAGCCTTCCATAGCAATATAATTTCGCTTTTTCTTTACTACTGGTCCTTTATTCTTTTGGTTCCCACTTTTCGGCTAATTTTCTGTTATTTTAGTCATTTTCACCATACAGCTTCCATGAGCCTGAATTTGAGGCCTTTAGATCAGCAGATTTGTACTATGCGGTAAACATATAAAGAATGTTTTGGTTGGAATTTGGCAAGAAAGAAAGGGTCTGTGAAAGTCACGGCATGGGTGGACGTGGACTTTTGAAAGCTGCTCGCCATTTGTAAAACCGCGTAGCAGAATCCGAGAATCAATGGCGAAGCTCTTGTAAGATTACGAAAATGTTGAAAGTGGTTGGAAAGCCTTAAACTGGCTCAAAGACTGTAATCTACCTGGCTAGTTGGCTAAGAAACTCAGAAACCTTCGAAAAGCTGGAAATGGGTCGATGTACGAAAAGCTAGTGGCCTTCCGTTATTTCTCGGCTTTCTCCACATTACTGCTTTTCTCCGAAGTTTCAGTTTCCGTGCTCCGTTGACTTGAATCCCTTCACACTTGGCTGACATGGTTGCGCTCTTTGACCATACCGAACCACCAAAAAGAAACGGTTCGCAGCAATGTCGGCCTGCGGTGTGCACAGGCTGAATCGAACGGACTCCACAGAAACAAGATAACAACGCCACAGGGCCGTATTTCGTACGGTTCACCTTATGAAAATCTCTCTATGAGAGATGGCAGAGAAAGTTGTATTTTGGAGAGTGAATGTGCAGAAAAGTGAGCCTGCTGCTTTGGGTTGTGGTCAGATCAGCTGACGGTGGCCTGCCGTATTGATTATCGATTAGTGGGCAATAGATATCTACCGCCCGTGACACCGATGCGTACTGGCTGAAAAACCGAGAGCTTCACTTCCTGATGGTATCAGCCTTTTGATCAGCCTCAGCTTCTCTTCCAGACTCCAGCTTTGTCCTCTGATGTCATGGTACCTAGTTTATCTTACACCAAGAATTTGTTTCACCGCACTGGCATACGCCGATGCCACCGCACTGGCATACGCCGATGCCACCGCACTTGCATGCGCCGATGCCACCGCACCGGCTTCCACCGCTGCTTGTCCCAAGCTAGTCGGAGAAGCCGATAACACGATGGCTACCGTGCAAGACGGATTCTTGCCACACGCCTGGCAGCGGCAAAGATGAAGCGATTCCAATACCAGCCAGCAACTTGTTTACAAAATTACCCGGCACACACCGGCCAAGGCCGCTGACTGGTGAGTGCCACCGTGTATGGATGGTCTTCACATACGCTAACCTATGTATTGTATGTTGTACTGCTATCAACTCATGAAAATCTTTCGACGAGAGAAAACAGAGAAAATACTTTACGGGGAAGGTGGCTGTACAGAACGACGATTTTTTACCGGCCATCAAGCCTAGAGCATTAATCGATAACGATGGATATTGATGTTGACCAGTCGGCAATTGATGTTGATCCCCAAGCAGCAATACGTTCTGAATCACATCGAAAAGCCGAATATGATCCTTATTTTTGATCGATTGCTTTCTTTCGAGCTCCGGCTTTATCAACTGACTTCAATATCTTTGAACTTCTAGTTTTCACCATTCAAGCTACTCCATCGAAAAGTGTAATCCACTCTTTTCAACTTCATCTTGCGAGCCCTAGATCTCCACTCCAAGCTCGAAGCCAGCTTGTTCACAACACTCAGCTAGTCATGCTGAGAGTGCTGGCTGGCTCCTCCCCTACCGGACAATGAAACGTTCCAAGGCCCTGGCGATCAGCTGACAATCAAACTCTTACCGAGGAGAGCCATAGGAATAAGAGTGCCGTATTTTCACATGGTGAAAGTCTTTCCATAAGAGGGGACAGAGAATACTTCAGTAGGGGAGCGGAATAGCGAGTACTGCTGTTCTGTATAGCGGTCATCAAAGAAGAGATCAACTGAAGGAGCGCTGCCGCATTGATTATTGACTGTTGGCAATATGGACTTTCCCAGTCCGAAACACCAGTACATACTGGCTCTTATGGGGAAGCAACGTTTCACCCCTTTTCCAACTAACTTTAGCTTACTTTTTCTGATTGTAGACCCTTAATTATTTCAGGTTTTTTTACAAACTCCAGCCACGTTTACCTGATAAGGCCAAGGAGAATTCACCGATAAGCTGGCGGATGGGCGCCTACGGATTTGATTGAAAAAAGAAGACCTCTGGATGAGAGTAGGCAGAAGTACAGGCTTCATGGAGTTGGAGTTCGACAAAGTCGGGTTTGTAAGTTCACCCCATAGGCCACTTTGAGGAGCATTAGGAGGTGTTGTAGATGCTGGGCTTCGGAGGAGTGAAGAAAATGGTTCAAATCTCCTGAAAGCCTCGATAATTAGATTTCCTCATGGGAATCTCAGTATGAGACCGAGACGAGGCGAACATCATTTCGATCAAACACTTTATTGCACTCTAGAGAGCTTTAGCATTCTGAAATAGCTCATTCTATGAAGTCATTGAAAATATAACACATACAAGTATTATATACTATATTGACAATCCAAAAGAGTATTCGAAAAACAAAAGAGTGTTCAAAAAAAATAGAAAACCATGCCTAAATAAGTGGAAAAACATAAAAAGCATTAACTGATTAGAAGAGATGACTGAAGAAAAACATGAGAAAATGAAAGCACAGTAGGTGTGGTGATTTTAGCCCGAGTAGGGATCGATCCTCTGGTATGGTGCGCACGTCGAGGGCGCGACACAGCTTCTGCTTGTCTTCACAACGACCATCAGAAGCTTTGTGTTTCCAGCATATACTCCGCCTTTATCTGAAGCATGAGTTTAGTATTACTGGAGATTATCCGTCCATTTCTAGGGTAAAAGAATCGATAATGAAAATAAACAAGACAAGAAACAACAGCCAACAAAAACAGCCAAAGCTTGCAAACTGTAGTAATCTCCTTTTGAGGTGCGCCCCGTACTCAGAAGCCCAGGAATTATCGGTTCCTTCCAGTCGTCCAAAGAAAGGGGTTGAAGTTTTTAACATTTAGAACTTCTAGGGTTTGAAATGGTCATGCCAACGTACCCTTCAGACACTGTTGAAGTGATTATAAGGTTTGTACTGATGAAAGCCAATGAGTAGGGGAGCATGCCTGCTTCCGATTCTTCTAGCAGTCCACATTTTGTCAGAAACATACTACATAAAAACAAATAAGATGCTTAGGATCAAAAAGAACGATACGAAGGACTGGAAAAGGCGAAGTACGGCAGTAAGAACGGTTGGCTGGTCTCCGATCCTCTGACAATCGGTTCGGTACCGGCATCACATGATACCTCCCCTCCCCGCGTGTACATTGTATTTCAGAGGCTTCGCGTTTCGAGCATCAATACGCTTTATCTAGAGGAATGAACCGGCATGGAAGTAGTTATTTTTGTCATTACTGAAAATATCTTAACGGGAAGTGAACAAAGTCGACAACTAAACAGATAACGTAAAAGTTAGCGCTTTTTGCAATGAAAATGTTGAATTTCAAGAGAAATTTAAGATGGGCCATGTGTGTGACAGTCTTCACATATTGCTGAAACGTTTATAGGATAAGCCAGTGATTAATACGATGTTAGGTAGAGGTTAGGCTAGGCAGTTAGTTAGTTTAGTTCGGATAAAAAGCAGCTCTGACTGTTCCACTCGTTGAGCAACTCGAATTCACCTTCAGATATTGAGGAAAGGACTGGAAGGACGGTTTTCATAGGTTGAAATGAATCTAGTCAGCTGAGAATATCATACATTATACATTAATGTACATAAAGAGTAACTAGATAATACAGTCAAAGTGGATAAATGTAAGGACAGACGTTGCTCCACGCATCTCCTTCACCCAAAATGTCGAAGTGGTCGGATGGTCCAAGGCAGTTTTTTTCAGTGAACAGGGAAGCCTACTATTTCAGAATACAGCTCGCGTGACGTACTCATCAGGTCCAATAGGATGAGGCTCTCAGAAAACTATTGGGATGTCCAGAGAGTTTCGAGGCATCGATGATAGATCAATACTAATGCTGGACTGCCTTAGACGTGGTTGTTGAAGTAAGTAATCGTCGACCGAAGGACGTGCTACGGTACGACTACGGGAGCCTTCTGCTTCTTCATTACAAAACTGATTCGTTCGATACTCAAGCTTGGAATGAATATGTTGACCGAATGGCAACAGTGACCCTCTCTTGTCACCTACCATGATTGATACGATCGCTTCCTCTGAGAAGAGATTTGCATCGACGAAGTTTGTTGAAGCGAACGTCCACTGGCCTGAAACACGGGCACTGTTCTGGCTTCCCGTCAGAGCAATCCTGTTCAAAGTAGGAGGATTTGGAAAAGACGATCTCTACTTCCCGATTCATTATCCACGACGTTCTACGCAAAAGTCGCTTTCAAAGAAAGCCTCTTTGCAAATATCGTCCGTTCCTTGGCTGAATAGGAGAGTCGAGTGTGAGACAGTGTAAACCAGAAGCTCGTCGACTGTAGGCAAACGACGACATCAACCGACTTCATTATTGTTCAGGATAAAAAGTAGATATCATATGAAAATCCACATGAGAAACGCAATGCTTACCAGCGGACGTAAGTCCACAGCCCGCTATAAAGCGAGGCGCTCACGCCAAGGAAGAAGAGTTCATTCTTCCTCTGCTAAACCGGGTGGTTTGCTAGGAGATCCTATTAGAGTGTACTGCAGTAAACGCAAGAGTATTCTGTTACCGAACATGAAAGATGGTATTTCGAGCCCCTATTTCACACCGGCTAGAAGGAAATTTTCGATTATGATGGATAATGCTCGACCACCCCACGCAAGGACGTCGACGGATGAGCTGGAGAGACCTGGTTTAACCTGGCTACGCCGATGCCCACATATTCATCTGACCTTAGCCCGTATGAATGCCATACTTTTAGAAGACCATAAGCCTGCCCTACAGGGAAAAGAATTCTCAACTGTCGAGAAGTCACGTAGGTGGTAGATGAATGGATTGCGTTACGACTCTCATCATATTGGAGGAATGGCATCAATGTCCAGCCCGGTTGATGGAGAGACATTGTGGCTAAGGAGGGCAACTATCTTGATAATCCAAGTTTGTTGCATAGATTTGTGTTGAAAAAACCGGCTCAATTTTCTCAAAAATTGCCGGATATCCTAATAAAAGTTGGAGTTGCTCCATATAGCCGTTTCTTCGAAAGCACAGTTCACTATGATTTTGAGGTATCCATTTAAGGTGAATTCATGGAAACTATGGTGGCGAAGAAAACGCAAATTTATGGAATTTTGAAAAATATAAGACTTTAGTAGAAGGGAAGGGGATTGCACGAAATGGCCGTCTGGCGTCTCTCCTTTGGAGGCACTACTCGTCCTGTGAATAGTCCCCGTGTCGGCATAACACGGCCACTTCGAGCGTCTGTGCCAGCAAAACCGGTTTTGCAGTTCTTTTACGCCCTATCTAGGCCGTATATCGGCCAGGCAATGACCCATGTAATATTGTTGGAGCTACAGATTCATTTTAGTGGGAAATATCAGAAGAGCAGGATTTAAGAGTAAAAAGACGGTTAGTCAGTTCAGAATGTAGTAACTGACAGAGGATAAAGGCCATCGTTGAGAATAAATTTCAAAACTGGGGAAGTCCAAGAATTCTAATTCCTAGGATGCACTATGTAGTAGGAACCCTTAAAAAAATGTTGACGTGATTGAAGGGTCAAAAGGCATTTACATAGTACATGTTAGTGAAGTCCAGTCAAATCAGAAAATTTCTGCCTACTCGTCAATACTCTCACTAAGTCTAGGAAGCAGGTCTCTAGAATGCGCCATGTACTTCGTTTTTTTCAACTACCGCTAAATCGGCCATGTAAATTGTATGCAGCAGTACATTTTAAAATCAAGGTCTGACGAAGGCATTATATGCCGAAAGCTTAACAATGAAAGTAGGGGTCAAGAGTTTCGAAGAGTATCAATCAAAGATGTAGGCAACAAGAAAGGAACAATTTAAACTCCGACATGTGAACATGCTCAGCACACAGTACCATTGAATTGGCCTCAACCATTAATCCAAGTACAAGAACAGATAACAATGTTTATTGATATTTATAACAGAACAATAACAAAAACGTACAATGAGCAACCTTCGTCAACCAAATGGTAACATAAACTTCGAATCTGATAGCAAAATCTCGGTCATTTTGCCAGTATAGACGCAGTGGTACTACAAAGTTGAGCTCAGTTCGGTTATGAGAGCAGTGACGGGGTTTAGGTCTTGCAAATATGATGGTAAATTTGACATGCGTCTCAGTGGGATATAGCAGAGCTGGCTACGGTATTGTAGTTCAACGACTTACCACCAATGAGGAGGGCGAGCGGCATGACAGAGTATGTATCCACCGTAGCAGCGCGCACCAAACCTTATTCTTGTTTCAAGATATCCTCTAACAATATTTCCTGTCCTCAGAAACGGAATGAAAGTTCCCTGCTCCCAATCTAGAAAAGGGGAGTAGAGGGAGAGGGTGGATATCTCTTGAAAATGACGCTGCCTCCATGACCTTGGCCAAGTTTTTGAGTTTTTCCACAACCTGCTGGACAGCTATCTGAGCTGACTGGTCACCCTCGAGCTCCTCTTTGCGATTCCCAACCTCCTTCCCCATTTCTCCCCAGTCCAACAAGAGCCTTAATTTTCTCCGTCTACTGGCCATTCCCTTTAGCCACCCTCAGCACTTCTAGCTAGAAAAAAAGCTCAGCACAAGGAAAAATCAGCAGAGCAACCAACAACAGTTTCGTAGTTTCCTCTCAGGGCACGGAGGACCGGCAAACTAGCAGAAACTTGGCAACAAGCGGTAAACACTGGTGATAGAAAAATCTAATGAAATTCTTCCCAGCTTAAGAATTTTTCCTCCTTCCAAATCTTCTCGTCCCGAAGTTTTTGGTAAGATTCATTCTGTTGGTTGCATTCTGCATGAGTCGTTCTAGTTATGCGAGTCATTCTAGTTTAGCAAGTGACAGTACAGATAACATGATTGTGAACATTGCCTTAATCACGCTCCCTCACCGGATACTCAAATGAGCCCTGAAACTCTGAATGATCTAACTGGGTATTAATCCCTCCTCTTTGTTCAAAATCAAAATCGTCCTCCTTGTTTTTCTTAACAAATAACATTTCCACATTCCGATCTTCAGCAACATTACTGCCAGGAATCTCATCGTAGTACCGTAATCGGATCACCGGCATTCCAATATCACTCGAACCGAACACCATCGATGGCTCTTCACCGTCTGAAAGGAATCTACTAACGTCTCAGGGCTATTTCTCAAAATGACAATAATTCGTATCCTAAGATAAGATAAGAATGCCTCCTTACGCCATTCAATCAGCCCTAAAACTTAGCAAGCAGGCCTCACGGGCATTTAACAGGCAAAAAACGAAAACTTTACAGATCTGATGTGAAGTTGAATAAAAAAAATCAGAAATTGAATGTGTGACGCCTACCGGATAGATTGCTAGTCGCCCAAAAGAGGCTCTGGTCCTTTTACACTTCATTGGAATGAGGGCTTAAGAACTGAAAGCAAACCTTCAGCTGTCCACAATGCGGTCAAGTGTTCCCTCATTTCTATTCGGACTATTCGAATGTCAATCTCTAGTGGTGATGGATAGTATTCAACCTGTTCCTAAAAACACTATCTATATGAAGTCGTACAAATCTTATCTATTTATTATAGAAAAAGTGCTTTCAAACTGCTGTAGAGTTTAAAATGAAAGAATATTCGAGAACGAGGTCAAAAGAGAGGCGCATTCCGTGAAAAACGATAGCGATATCTACGAAATATGTCCTTTGTCCTAATAGAATAGCAATACTGTTCAGCAAGATACCTTTTCATCGCCCAGTTGTCCACGATGGTTCCATCCCCACAAATACACGTCACCATCATCTGAAAGACGTCATCTTGTGTTATTTCGCATTTACGTTAAACAAAGACATTAGAACATTAGAATAGCGAATGTATCTATATTATTCAAAAAACCACGAAATTAGGGTTTCTTTTGACACGTAGTAGTAAAAAATGCCTTACTAATGTAGAAGTATTACATGAAGTTTTCTTCCAATGCAACAAACAATAAACAAACTAGGCAACCTGCTAATCTGAGATAGATTAAAATATTTATTTGAAACCTACTTGTCAATACACCACTGTGCCACCCAGCGGCCGCGATACTCACTACCTTCAAGCCTTCAAGCGCTTCCACCCATGTCAATTCACAGACACGTGGGATCAGACCATTTCCTAGCTCACCTCGGCTATAATGAAATACCGCTACACTATGGGCTTCCGAAAATAAATATTGAAGTTCGAGCACCAAATCTAACCTGCCAGTCCCTAGCGCGTATACAGCTCCTTTGTCTGTCAAGAATAGACTATGATCATTACCAGATACTGCCTCAAAATATTTCCATTTGTGTCCAATTACACAGAAAGATACTTATTGGGAATTTTCTTACCGTGACAATTTTTATGTCTTCAGGAACTTGAACAACACTCGATTTGATGATGCCACTCTCCAGGTAAGCGGTCTCGTTGAATAGCCTGAAGTACTACAGATGTCCCAGCAACCATGGAAATTTTGCAAGGGTGAAAAAATGAATCGAAATAAAAAAATGGAAAGCGCCGAAAAATCCTAAATCAAATCACAGTAGCATTCTAGAGATTTCACAAAAGGAGGAAAGGAGAATATATTCTTTTGGAAATTAGGCAGAGAAAATTTCGAGGTATGACGGAGCTGCAGCCTCGAGTTTTGTAACCACTGACCTCACTACAGTACTGACACCATCCAAGGTATACACTAGGTATACTGTAGAGACTGTCGACGTTAGAATAACATGAGAAGGCGGTTTTTTCTTTGTACACCAACGATCGCTGATAGCCGTTGGACGAGATTCCGACGTAACTGAGACCCATTCTGCCGGTTCGAATTCCAAGCTTGGTGCGGCACCGGTTTTGCAAACACAACATTTGGGGACCTGTGTAAAAGTGAGCATAGAGATCTCAAAAATGGAAATCCTAGTTTGGATCACTGATTACTGCAGCCAAGACTGTAGCTTCTGAAATGTGACAAGTTACTTACATCAAGTTCGTCCTTATGCGCAATAAAGATGTGGCCGTCAGTTACTACCGTCACGAAATTAAGGGTGGCACATGCATCTAAAATTCGGCTCCCAACATCCACAGTGACGATCTTTTCGAGAAATGGAAATCGAACGACAAAGGAGTTTTCACGAACAAGCACCTCGTCAAACGTTGATCGAAGCCTCCATAGTACCTGAACGGCATCCATATCGCCAAGGTAGCGATAATTCGCAGAGACCTAGATTAGTTGACAGCAACGTGCAGCCAGTTTTACTAGTTTTTTTTTGCTCTTCCGAAAAAAAAAAGCCATCAAATCTGGTAGAATGGAAGCTTTTAGGGGTGACCGGACAAGATCTACGGACCACAGGAGGGAACAAACAAAAAACCCAGCTCTTCTGCCAATACCATCCCACCAACACTGAAAATCGAAACCGTTCCTTGAAAGCGTTCTTGTAACACGGGCGACGAACCGGCCTATGGAAAGATATTGCTAATATTGAAGTAAGTTTTACTGTTTCAGTATAGTTCCAGAGTATTTAAATGGGATTTCTAGTCAAGGGTAGGTAATTGCTCTGAAAGGATGTGCACCTCCATTCGACTAGGATCCTCTCGTCTTGATTTTAGGGCGACAGAAACCTAGTCGGGTAAATCTCGGACAAAAACTGCACACCAAAAAAACAAAAACCACCCAACAACCACAAGGTTACGNCCCCCCCCCCCCCCCCCCCCCCCCCCCCTCCCAAAGGTATGTTTGTCGCTTCTCAGGATAAACACCCGACGGACGGAAACCCAAGAAAAAAAAGCGACTGATATCACTGACAACGAAAAAAGCCTTGAATTGTTATAGAATAAGTTGAAGCTGTAGTAGATTTCAACTTACATCAACCTCTTCGTTATCGCCACCCGTCTCTCGGTTCGACGGCATGCACATCGTATTTCCTCCGCTTAAAACTTAAAACCCTGTCCCAATTTTTACCGAAATCAACTTCGAAACTAGGAAATTGAAACACAGTATAAGTTCGGATAGAGCCAAAATGAGTTTTAAGGGCTACAACTTTGACTGACGCTGTCAGGAACAATTTTGGTACTTTTTCCATGAAAAGACTTTACTGCTTCTTCCAAAAATAAACCAAAAATTCTGTAGATCGTTAGAAATTAAAGCCGTCATATCACACATCATGCTGACTGTGCACAATGACATCCCAATCGCAAAACCGGGACTGTACAAAACAGAATTGGTCAGAAGTTTGCAAAAAAAAGAGCGAAGTACCCAACCATGACAATACAGTGAAGTGTAAACATTCACACCTCCTTGAAATATGTTTTATTGATCTTCATGTAGAAAAAAAATTGACGTAAATCAAGGCAAAGTAACAAAAAAATTATGTTCCTAAGCATCAATTAAGGGCATCGAATTATTCTCGAAAAAATAGCAAATTACCGAACAGCAGATGACACAGTCGCCTATAAGGGGATGACACCTAATAGCTTACGCAGTTCGCTACCGAGATCTCGTTAAACAGGAACTTTTGAGAACTCGACAGCTCAAGCTCATGGGGAACGATAAATAAAGAATATTTTTACGTCATGGGGAGTATTATATAAGAGCAGCTCCCAAGTAGTAAGGAACAGGTTGAGAACATAGGCCTCATACAACCGTAAAAGATTCCAGTCTAATGAAAAACGTAAGTAAATACAAAAGATCATATATACAAATAGAAACCAAATAGAAAGCGGGAATGCCAAATGACGGAATAGTTAGTATCCTATATTCTGCTAAACAAAGACCAGCAGTAAGAGTCTACACAAACAGTAAACCTTAATCTTCGTCACAACTCCAAATCCAGTTCCAGTCCGTTCCGTTCACTTTTGTTTTGTTCTTTTTCCAACAGACTGGACAAATACGGGAAACAAGCACGGACGACTTGTGTCCAGGCTCTCTTTATATTAACGTCACTGAAAATGTAAAGATGAGAAATTGTTAAGTGGAGAGTAGAAAGGAACTTACTTATGCTCTAACACCACAGTACAACCTCGACGATGTTGAGAGTAGATGTGTCTTCTGACCAAAGATCTTGTATTACTGCCAAAACCACATCTGTTGCATTCAAATTGCTTCACATGATAATGAGCTTTCGCATGCATCACAACGCTGATCAATCCTTTTCCATCAATTATACGATTGCACAGCTGAAAGGAAAACGGTCACAGATGTACTGATCTTTAACTACAATACAATGTTAACAATTTTTTTAGAAGGAGTCGTCATTCGAAGCTCAAGCTCTCCAGAGGTATGAAGCTCTGGTGGTAAATCACGATATTGGCCTGTTTCTGTTTCTAGCAGACACCTCAGTTGTCATCAAGATATGATCGAAAAGAAATGTCTTCGCTTGGCACACATCAATACTGGACTCTCCAGCCCCCGTCGGTCCATAATTCGCTCAATGTAGACTCATGAAATCATCGACCAACTATCGTCATTTGCTATCTCTGATAGAACTGTTTTCGTCAGATTCTGTATAAGCTATTCGATAGAGCGAGAACCAAAATGTCTTTAAATCGTTCATCACGCGATGTTCCTTTTCAGCATCAGAATCCAGAAACGAGCTTCCGAAAGTCTCACCTAATTCACAACTATTGTATTGATTGGAACTTCCAAAGAAACGCAAAAGATTGGCTTTCCCAAATCAATCGCAAAAGGAAAACAACAAGAGACTACAGTTTATGCAAACTGTTCAGTCTCACGGGCGCAGGTTTTCTCGCGTTCTGAAACCAGCATCAGTGACAAGAGAAATCATTTCGTGCCCTGTCTTCGTCGCTCACATATCTACGGAACACAGCTGCCTTTCACATATTTCTACTCCCTACACAAAATATTTTTTGATGATATTTTTAAATAAAAGTCTATCAATCCAAAGTAGTAACCTACCCGGCAGACCAATGAACGCAATCCACTTTCATCATCTCCATCTTCCTTTGCTACATAAACTTCATACGAAGTGTCCTCTTTGGGAGAAGTTGTCACGTCCACGGGACTCGGTTCCTGACTTGGAAGAACAACGACCCTTGCCTTTTCTTCTGCTGCTTCGTTTTGCTCTTAAAATTATAGTGAGGGGTTCTGAGCTGGAAAAATCGATTGAACAATAAGTGCTAACCATTACTCGCTTGAGTACTCGAGTCCGTAAGCACCACTTTGATATGATCATCACATATCACTCCCGTATGTCGCGAGGTTACATGCCAACGAACCTTGCTCTATAATACAAGAACTGTTCATTAAATTACCTCAGGCACAAGAAAAAGGGCTCATCATGACAGATTAAGATCGCCGAAGGAAAAGCCGAAACAGCGGAAGACCGGGTTATGTTATCGACTATTCTCCGAATCGAAGCGAGTCTATCTATTCATAATCCACTCCGATCAGAACTTCAAATGAAAGTAATGAGCTCTTTCCAAAGAATGGCAGGAATATTATGAACGAGGCTCGTGTAAAGACATTCAGTTTCAACTATATGTACAATTAATACAGTAAGTCTTTGCAATAAGCTACTAATACGGCTGCATTACAGCTCCAATCTACCACAGCTTTTGTATTTTGAAAAAATTAATGAAAAACACACCTCATCACCATCTTGGAAGCCGCAGATTCGACAGGCGTACAAGATTGTTTCCGTAGAAGGTGTTATAATGTTGTCACTGTCAGCCTAAAACGATTTCTCCAAGATACATTGAAAATTGCCCGCCTACGCTCCGAATGCACGGGCAAAACGAAGCAGATAGGATCCCAAGATACAGATATATGCAACTCGGAAGGCAGCCCTTCCCAAAACACCTGCGACCAGAGGTACTAAACCTGCGTTGGCTTAAACCTTTAAGTCAACTCGAAAACTCATATCAAACCGAAACTCTTAAAAGCAAAACAACGATAGCAGTAACTAACCTGGGGTTCAATGTGGTTAGACAATGGAGTGTAATGTGGGAAACATTTCTGAACTAGGAATTCCCACACTTTCTTCATCCGCCAAGTGTTGTCTATTGCTTCCGATGTACTGTCGTCATGCAGGTTTGTCATATGAGCTCGTATCTGCAGTTTAACAGTGAGCAATATACTGGAGATCGGAGAGACGTTGCAAATGGGAAAGCATGATACATAATAGTAATAGTAAAAAACAAAATAAAAAGGCCGAGGTTGAAAAATGAAGGATCCACTAACCTTCACGTGTTCGTTGTGCTGAAGATCACAATATATGCACTTATACTTTTTGACGACCGAATGTCGACGAGCATGATTAGATAGATTAGAGAACCTGAAAAGGAATCAGTGCAATTTAAGGTCTTCGACCAGCCTCAAGCCAAAACGTCAGCCCGAAACGTCAATGTCCTTGCAATACTACTAATTCAGTCTCCTTTCCCAACACACCTTGACGCCATAATGACTTTCTTGCAGAGCTGACACATCACATAAGGACTTTTACAATCCATTTTTCCACCACCGTTCACATCTGCAATACACAGAAAAAAAAATCTCGAAACTTTGATAGGACCGACTAAAACCTACCAGCATCGCACATTTCCGAGTCCGTCCCTTCTCCACCACTTTCTGACTGCTGTACGTATTGTTCCGACAGATCGTTCAGCTCAAAGCTGTCTTTGGAGGCTAGAAATGCCAACAATAAGCAATTAGAAGGGCAACGAAAGAATTTTGCCAAAGCGATGTTTAAGGAACATTCGAATGAACGGGGAATCCGAGAATAAACAAAGATCAACAATGAACAACATGAAAATCAGAAAATATTACCGCCTGGAGTTGAGCTTCCTTCATCAGTTTGAACATCCAATGACTTTTGAGACCTCTTAGGAAGGATCCGAGGGCGATTCGATGGGGCAATTCCTGACAAAAGAAGGTTGAGTAGTGCGATTCGGATCAAGGCCAAAAATAGCATGGTACAGCCTAATATGCTCTGTTCAGCTCTCAATCTAATTCCTTAGAAGACTAAAAAGGATTGGGCATACTGTAAGCTGATGTAATTCATACGAACTCGTATTTGGGAAGTCATGACGAGGACGATTTTCGAATAAGGCTGCTGGCTTTTGATCATTTTTTGCTTCATCGACATCATCACCATCGCCAGTTCCACTACCACTGGCGGCTCCTAACAAGTCTGTGGCAGAAACTTCTGCGAAATAAGGGATATCGTCTGGAGCATCTGAAAATATTGAATTACACTTGTTTCGACTAGTAACCTTAGTACAGAAACGTTAGTAATTAGTTCTGGAGTGAAAAGCTATTTCAACAGTACTTCGCTGATTAGAAAATGTTTGCGATAAAGGGTTAGTAATGACAATCACGGAAACATTAACAGCAAGATTGTTAGCCTAGCAAATAAAGGAAAAATGCCCTTTTCTTTTACATAAGCTTTGTTATTTGTGGTGGGACTAATTTATAGCGCTATATGAAATGACATGAAGATAAATCAGTCTTCGAAACCTTTCGAAATACAATATTGCTCAGATGTGTACAGGGAAATGATGGCCACATAGAAATTTTTCTAAATTCATGAGCGACTGAAAATCCCATGCAACAACCCAATTGCTGAAACTGAAAATTTCAACAGAGCTCCGCACATCCAGCCGCAGAGATGAAGGGGGAACTGGTTAAAGCTGCATCACTTAGCACCACAACATCAAGAAAATGGTCGAAACTCCCATCTTTTCCGCTGCACGAAAGCCACTGCGAAGTCTGCAGGGTACACTTTCCTGATACTTAGGCAAAGACCCCCTCTGAATTTAGAAAAAAAAGTAAACATCAAGTAGGGGATCAACACACCATTCGAAGAAGGAGCTCGCGAGATATCGGACTCACATTCCAAGTTGAGAACTGGCATCGATTCATCTTTTTTGTTTGCCGGCAACTAAAAGGAGAGTTCGATATTACAAATGTAAACCGAAGTAAATTTCTACAATCGGTTCGATAATTAATTTTCTCAAACGATTATGCTTTCATAGTTACAGTGACGGGATGTACTCAATGGGAAACAAAATAGACTCACATCAAAATCAGGATGATCACTCAGGTTATTGAGTAGAAGGAAATTGCTGTAGCCGTTGTCTATCTGGAACAGACGTATTGGCTAAATCGTTCATTTCGATGATTTCTTTTAACAGAAGAACCAAACTGACCAGAAGGTCGTATAGATTGTCACTGGACTGTCCTCTAATGTCGACAACAGCGTAGCGGTACCTTGAAAAGTGTCCACAATCAGATCCAGAGAATTCTTCTGTTTAAGACTCGCCTTCAAGGACAACATACATGTCTCACACGGTTCTGTACCCTCTTTATAACTAATTTCGCTCAATTGTGAACCAATTTTTGGTAAAACCCAATTTCTGCCAGATTTGCTCACATTTTCGTAAATATGCGAAGATAACAGGAAATATAATGCGAAATAGTTAACATCAATATACTAACTTTACTGTATTTATGTTAGGTTGTACCATCGTGGCCTACTTTTTTCACTTCCAAATTCGTACTTAAAAATTCTAAGTTCTGAAGTTATTCCAAAAACCATTCCGGAAGTAATAACTACTCTACAAAGCAGTAAATTTTTTCTAATTCCCTAATACACAGGTCCAACACTCAATTTGAATCATAAGCATGAAATTGGAAGCAAAAATACTATTTTCATAGGGCGATTGAATACTGAATATGAATAATTAAGCGTATACTAGGGAAATTGATTGTCATTTGTTTATACAAAAAATATTCTTTTAGTGTTACACGATCCAGGTATGTGGTCTATGAGTAAAAATCACTTTGAAAAACGTGTAAGCTAATGGTTTTAAATTATTAGGAAAAGGACAGTTGCTCAGTTGCCAACTTATTGGTGAAAGAGATAACTTGAAAGCCTTGAATTCTAGAAAAGAAATCGTACTCAAAAAAGGAAAAGATCAAAAGTTACTTATTAACCTAGCAATGCAACATGCTGCCCACCATCCCAACCCCTCACCCTTCCAAACATCCAGAACGCTCCAGAACGCCTTTTACTATTTACTAATTAACCTAAATTTTTGCTGAGAAAATAAAATTAAATCCGTTGAAATATAAATTAATATGAACCACAAATAGTATATCGTAGGTTTTGAAAACAAAAGCAAACAAGAAAACAAACATTTCGTAAAGTTGGTAAAATCTTCTAATTGAAACAAGATATTGGTCAAATCTCTTACCTTTTTTGGCCATTGGTAATGCTGTACACAGAACTCGACGATGATTCCATTTCATTAGCCGGTCGAACAGGAGGTTGCTCAAAACCGTTGTTGCTATCATCACCAAAAGCCAAACAATGTCGCCCTCGATCGCAGACAGACCCTGTCTCCTTGAATTTTGCCAGCAAATTGCCAACAGTTGAATGGGAAATCGATTTCTGATGTAGGCGACAGAACTCGTCGGCGATTTCACGATGAGTCCGACCGTTTGCGGCTAGAAGGATCACTTGAATACGTTCCTCGATAGATAACGGCATCAGATCGAATGGATACCCTGGAGCCGTGGGACAAAGGACAACTATTGTCAAACGCTATAATAAGGAGACGATGGCGGAAGTGAGTCGTTATCGATTGGTTAGCCGGTGCGTCCTCGGGTAGGGGGCAAGGACGATGTGTCCTGGTGCCGGGNGGGCGCGAATTTATCGCACGCGACGAGCGGCGCACTTGCGCGCCAAATGCCACGAATGCAATTCATTCGCTCGTGTCATTTGGCCGCGCAACCCTCTCAATTTGATCGACACCAAGCTCCGGAAGAAACAGTGCCCGTTTGGGTGGTGTGAACAGATGTCGGAGGCACTGCATGGGTATTGAACCCGACGTATAGTTCGCGATAACCCCGAGGAACATGAGAAACACACTTAAGTTGAGACTTACCGATTGAAGTAAAAAAGAATTTTTTTAACAATAATCAAACCCGTTTTGAAATGCGCCCTACATTCGACTCCCAATCGGAATCATAGCAGCATTTTGGAAGAGTATGTAACCTATGCAATGACTTACGGTGGCCAACCAGTGCATAACTCACTGCTTTTGTCCTTACAGACGGGCCCGGTACCAATTGCACGATTCTTGAGGGTTGGAAGGCTTGGTTGGCCTAGGTAGTTATCGATTCGAGATTCGAACCCGTGACCATGCGTATCTGATAGTGCGCCACTTGCCCCTACACCACATCCGGCCAAGTTACCATGTAGTATGAGTTGAAAAAGCGGTTACAAAGGGCATGGGNGGGAGCCCTTTGAAGCTCCCTATTCAGGAGCTGAACTCAGTCTTTGACTTGACCCCAGCTAGACTTCAAATTATCAGCTATTCAGGAACAACAGGGTTGGGCAACTTATAGTTTCACGGGGCTGATTTATCTGCGCAAGTTGATAGGCCCTCTCTTCCGATAACTAATCTGCCCCATCGATTGCTTTCTAGCTTTCTCCGTCTCTCGAATATGAACACTATTTCACCCTCTCGCTGATGGAACGTCCTAAGCAACACGGCAAAGTATGGACGCGGGTGCTTACTGCTACATCGCGACATACTAACTGAACTGATACTATCTTTATTTTTCAAAAAAAAAACTTTGTAATGACGTACCATCGTGTAAAATGGTAAGTAACGGAGGGCGCACTCCGTTCTCTACATAAAGTCATCACAGCAGTTATATTACAATTAGTATTACGGTAGGAATTTGAATCCAAATCGAACCTTTGCTTACTCGTAGGCCATTAACAACAAATACATATCCAACTTTATTATAGCTTAAACTAAAAGTTCAACTATGAACTATATTTACGTACACGTACAGCAAATGAAACCCGTTTATACTACTCGGCAACGGTAAGGCATTGTTCATCTGTCTCGTCTGTTGGCTGTCTTGTTTCATTTTCAGCTTCGAACAAAGGCTCGCCTTCCGATCGCGACAGGTTGTACAGTGCCGCACAACAGACAACTACTCGTGCTACTCTTGGAAATCTAAATTCAGTTATACAATAAAACCAATGGTAAGTAAACTGCATCTCGTCGAAAACTGCAATTGCATACCTAATTGTACCATTCAGTATAGGAAACTGCCTTTTCCAGTTTGTAATCGCTTCCTGTACCGTCAGATGAGCATTTCTTACTGTATTAGCCATAGCGAAGTCCTCTTCTTGAAAAATTAGCACTACAGACGGCAAAAATCTCTTGGAGAACGAAAAAATTAAGATCGTTAATTGATTGATGTAACAAGGGTTTTGGGGAAACTTCAGCCAAAATATTGCAACTTCTGAACAGCGGACCATGATTGTGTCATGATGCGCTACTTGCCGCTGCACTACCACGATAAGATTGTCTTTTTTGAAAAAAAAAAAGAACACTACCTGTCATCCAGTCTTTTCCCCGGTTTGGTGTCAACAAGAAACTCTCCCTTTTGTAAGCATCATCACCTATTAGAATTCCTTTTCTTCGACCGTCTCTCAATTGCTGGCATAGTGAACTTTGTTTGAAGACCTATAAGACTTTGGATGAGAGATCCATTTCTCCTCTTGGAGACACAAACATACTGAGTCGTCATCCTCCTTTGAGTGGAACTTTGCAAATACCCATCGAAAACGTTTGCTGTCATCTGCCACAAGTCCGACGTTTAAGCTTTGTGTACCTTTTCTAAAAAAAAAAGAAATATTAGAATAGATGTCAAATTTTTTTAAACCCCCTCTGATGCTGTAGGATCAGATTTGCGCCTGGAATGCATCCAGTTAGGTGTCACAAACAAGTTCTATTCTACTCATGAGTACAAAGCACTGTTTACACTGGCAACTAAAGAGATCTACAGCACTCCCTCAAGCACGAACGCAGCAAAACCGTGCTAGAGAAAGCTGTCTCATTGCAGTTGGAAGTGAAACTCAGCAGCTACCAAGTGCTAACTCTAAGTAATCCATTCAAAGCGATCTACACCTTTTTGAGAGAAAAAAAAGAGAGAACTCACACTAATGTTCCATCGATACAGCCGACGATATCTTTCAGGCCAGTCATTTCAAAGAAGCTGGAAAAACGATATGAGTTTTCTAATATTTGATTGTGTTTGAGAATCTATGACTAAAAATTTTGATTTTTGGTTTCATTCCAGCCATCTACCGCTATGCCATCATTTACCGCAAGTCGAAGCTAAGGCTGTAGCTTATCGGCACGTACATAGCGGAGCGCAAAATTGGAACTCACTTCTCGCTAATTTTTTTCCGCTCCCACTCATCTGGCCATTGTACCATCGTTGTGGACCATTCAGCTAGGGCAGCGATAACGTCGGCAAAAATGCGAGCCACGTCTCCTGCCGTGAAAGAAGTCGACGGACGAGTATTCCCGGCCAAAATTTCCAGAGTAGTTCCCAATTTGATTGCGGTTGAACTACTGATCGTCTGATCTCCTTTTGAACTCAAAATCTTCTCCAATACCGAGCAGAGCGCTGTGAAAGTTTTGCGTGTGATTCGAAAATGATTCCAGAAATCATCATCGTTAAGAGTGCCTATCAACGTCGACTGGTCTCGAAGTTTCATTCCGAATGGAACGGCGATAATGTCCTTTTTGTCAGTGCACCTAAAAGGCAGTAATACCGTTACTGAAAAGATCATCAGTGCTGGAAGCCTCGAAAGACCTGTGACAAATGACTCAAGGGAATCCTTTTCTGCCCCTAGCATCTTCCTATGGGCCTGCTACGACTATACTTCTTAAATTTTATCATATGTATATTGAATTGGTTCCAACAAGAGCGCCACTGATTTTTGACTTCACAACGCTACTTTTGATAAAGGCAAATGCTAGTATTCCACTAGAAATGATGGACCCCGTACGAAGTTTTTAACAAAAAAAAGTGGCATTCAAAAAAGGAAGCCGTTAGACTTTTCTAAATATTTCTGAATTTTGATGACAACGCTCGACTGGTCTCGAAGTTTCATTCCGAATGGAACGGCGCACACGACTTTCGTTCCGTTCCAGACACCGACACACATGAGTTTTTAGACGTCAGAATTACGATTCTGCATCGATACAGCAAATTTTGCAGAAATAATATTTATATTTGGAATCGTCTGAGGGAATAAACTTGTGACTGCGACCAAACTTTAACGATGAATTACCTCAATGCATCTTGATCTTTTCCAGGCGACCTCGTTGGGGTTGTGGAGATCGAAGCTGAAAAAGAAATAGTGATGAAAGGTAGCTGAAAACTCAGAAAGTGAAAGGTATGAAAGAAAGCAAGGGTTCCAAGAGAAAGTATTAGAATACTATGAAATACCTTTACTGTCGGTTGAAGGAGAGCTGATAACGACCACAGAATGAATGGGGGAAGGGGAACGAGTGGGATTCGATGTTCCTAGCAAATCTATTGCAGTCACTTCACATGAGTCTCCTTCTTCTACTTCATTCCTTGGCTTTTCATGTGTGGAACCTGCAGAAACACGCAATATCGTTAACACCAGAAAAATATTGCTGAGGAATTTTCCGATTGTTAAATTTCGAGAAAAAAATCTCTGGAAAACCATAAGAAACATTGAATAGTAGGCTCCACTGAAAGAAAAAAAGCTGTTATCTCACTCGGAGAGTATGACGTCGGTTCTTCTACAGGACATTCGCGTGCTGAGTACTTTGAACTCTTTGGAGATCGTCTCTTTGTGGTAGATGTAATCTTAAAAACCCCAACTTGCAAGTATCAAATGCCAATACTGTGAATCGAATACCTTTTGTACACTTACCCTGTCTCCCTCTTTACTAGATTGTTTTGAGTTGGTCCGTTGCGGGCTCCAGGAAGACTTATCGTAATATTTCATTAAACTTTCATTCAGGAAGCTTGAAACGTCGTCAAACATCAAAACAGTGTCCTTAAATAGTTGTTTGGTAATCATGATTCTTGGAGCAAAGAGTAGAAGAATTTTAAGGCGGTGGTTAGCCACTCGAAAAGAATCTATACAGGGATATCCTAGACATTCTGTTTTAAAAACGACCGATGAAGGAAAATTTTAGCCGTAAATGCTGAAACACTTACCCCAACACGATTTGCATAATTCTGCACTGATGACAACAAATTGTCCTTCACATTAGACGGAATATCAGCAAAACCACGGTCTGGAAACCTGCCGCATATCATTTCCACTTCCTTCCCAATGAATTCAGCCTGATACAAGCACGAAGAAGGTCAAGAACAAAGGCAACAAGCAAGTGAAAAGACTCACCGCTTGANTATAATGGTCATGACATATAGGCACACTTGAATTCAGTGTCTTTTCATACATCTTCCTTGCTTCCTTTATTTCAACAATGTTCTGAGCGCATAGACAGGCGAAAAGTACAGCATTTTCTTGACCCTTGCATGACGACATTCTTATCTCTTCTGGCTGTCCTTGCAGTCCACAGACCATACATGAATTTTTCAATTTCTGCATTGCGGCTTTCCTCTGTCTCGTGATGGGGTAGACATCACCAATTTCACTGGACCTGCTGCTGCAGCTGTAACGATGGGATAAGGTTTTGAAGAAAAACCCAACGTGTTCAAAGAAAAAGTACTCTTCCAAATACTCTGTACGAAGTAGTCATATTAGCTATTGGATCAGCTCCGCTTAACCTCCAATTTAGTTCCCATTAATTACAATTCGATATCTAATATCCCGGTTCAGATTAAATGTGAGCATTTTATAGAAGTATAGAGGAAACGTAGAAAAAACAAAAACAAAAAACACAGGCACTCAAACACCAATAAAAGAAAGAAACTACCTGGATTCTTGATCATCTTGATAAGTCGGCTGTTCTGATTGATCTGTAAGTTAGAATGACAATCAATAGAATGACAAATCTATTAGGGGAGAACTTGGATAAAATCGTTGAATAAAACTGATCATTCGAGGGAATAAAATATATTTTGATGACTCGTGAAACAAGGAAAATAAAAAATACCAACCGAAGCACCTTACCTTCACTGACAGCTTCCCCCTTCGCTATAAGATAACTCAATACAGATCCACTGTCACCTGAAGTCACAGGCGGCGCTCGAGGTTGGTCTGCAACCGCTTATTTCAAATCCCCTTCAAAACCGATTCTTTCGTGATCCAAAACAAAGACGAAAACATACTGCGAATTTCCATTTTTGGGGCGATCTTCTTCTTCAGATTTCTTGGCGGATTTTTTTGAGACTGAGACGAGGCACATGGAGTAATGCTCTTAACGGAGAGCTGTTCATTTTTAGATGTTAGAGTACCATTCCTGGGCTGCACATAGATTGCAATGAGCAATGATTCGTTAAAATTTGATAGAGGCTGAAAAAAACAATGCTCTTTACCTCGTCAAATGGTCCACTAACAAACTTCAGGTCACGGAAACCATTGCTCATCTGCAACGAGGTTTTTTGAATTTTTCATTGATAGATAAGAGCAACAGTAAACAGCAGTTATAATCACACCAACCACTAGTTCAGAGAATCTTCGCCGCTCCTCCTCTGACTCAATACCAACAATGGCGTAGCATTTTATTCTGAAAAGATTAGATTGATCAATCAATCAGGTTTGATTAGATACCAAAAAAACTGGGAGCGATTGAAACATTCAAGATCGTTTCCAGCCAGTTTAATTTTAAAAAATAGTCAAATTCGTTCAGCAAATGTGCAAGTCATGTCTTTTATTTTTCCAAAAAGATCCCTCCTTGGATGAGTTCTAACCTAAACTGCAGAAAAAAAAAACAAAAAAAAAAACTCGTAGAAGTGGACAAGAAACTGGATCGATCACGTAGATAAACGTACTTGTTGCGCCCTATCGAAGGAATCAACCTTCTGGGAGAAATCTGAGCACTGACGATTGGTAAAATGTCGGCAGCAGTTGCAGGATACTGCTTTGAATTGCCCTAAAAANAAGGTCAAGAACAAAGGCAACAAGCAAGTGAAAAGACTTACCGCTTGAATATAATGGTCATGACATATAGGCACGCTTGAATTCTGTGTCTTTTCATACATCTTCCTTGCTTCCTTTATTTCANCAATCAAGGTTGATTAGTAATTTAAATACAACTGGCCAAAACCAGAAGATTCGAGTTGAGTGATCGAAACATTAAAAATCGTTTCTAGCCAGTTCAATTTACATGATAGTTAAATTTGTTCAGCAAATGTGCGTGTCATGCCTTTTGCTTTTCCAAAAAGATTCCTTTTTGAATGAATTCTAACCTGATCTGCAGAAAGCGAACTTGTACTAGTGGACAAGAAACTAGATCGATCACGTAGATGAACGTACTTCTTTCGCTCTATCGAAGGAATCAACCTTCTGGGAGAAATCTGAGCACTGACGATTGGTAAAATGTCGGCAGCAGTTGCAGGATACTGCTTTGAATTGCCCTAAAAAAGTCCATATACGGCTATATCGTCGTATGCGTGCTCTGGAATACCAAGAAGTGTTCTAACCCACCTCAGCGCTTTGTGGACGTATTTCAACAACTTTGACGGGGTTTTCCACCACTTCCCGTCCCTTCTCCTGACGAAGCCTATTTTGATATCGTCGGATGCGTGCTCTCTCCGCTTTGAATCGCCGGCGCTCCTCTCTTTCCTCTGGTGTTTCATTAGCTCTGGTTCTACGTAATCCAGCGACTTTTTGTGGTCGGTCCGACTTTTTCACCGAATTTTCACTCAGATCCTCGTCTTGCCCCTCATCCGTCAAATTCATCTCGGAAGTACCCTGATCAGGATAATAAGATGGACCAGGTTCTTCCTCTTTTACTACCTTTTGAAAAAGCGTATCTCCAGCAGTACCAGGTTCATCTTTTCTATCACTCATCTCTTGTACAGGTGGCTCTTTGGGGGTTTTCTTTCTTCCTCTCCAGCGCCATCCTGGATTGCATAATGGTGGTGGTCGCTTCCTTCGTTCGAGACTGTCAATTTCTCGCAGGGTTCGGGTTAGCGACGCTGCAACGGACCATAATCGGCTATGTTTGTTCACAGGCAATCAACAATCAGAGAGGCTCATTATAAGCCAGGGATTCCCATGAGACCACGAATTTAATTGACAGTTAAGAGTAAATAATGTTCAGACCCTAGTAAACACATATTCCTTTCGCACTTTCCTTTCCTGGCTGATCACTCCAAAGCTCGTCCCTTTCACTAAACTCTACTGCCTGTCTTTAGAAGATTCACTTTCTGCCCCCTTATTTCAACCTCATCTTCTGCAAGGCCCCAACCCGCTTAGATTTGATCAATAGAAGAATGTCACCTATAGACATCTCCGATGACATACATAGCTAACTATTTGGGGATTTATGCTTCTAGATGCCAATCGTACAAGTCTATGAGGGAGCTTGTTGTGGGGAATAAACTTTCAGATCACTATGAATAGAAATAAGACATTCGTTCTGCCGGTAGTGGAGAAGATTGGACAAAGTTTCTTTTTCTGGGAAGACAACTCACCTAAAAAGAAGTTCGGATCCACGCTTTGATCTATTTCTTGTTCATGTTCTTCTCTCCAATGTCTTACGAGTATTGTGGCATCTGGAAACTTTTGTTGACAGCTTGGGCAAACCACGTAGAAGCCAGCAATACGTTCTACTCCGACATGTGCTCTCTGAATAGGTGACAGTCGGGTAAATAACAATTGTAACGTCATAATACCAGAAAAAGCCCCAACCCCCCCCCCCCCCCCCCCCTCTACACTGGTACTTCTTCAAACTGTGAGAGAGTTATTCCCACAACACCCATGTATAACAACTATCTTCCCCTCTGATTAGCACCAGGCGAGCGCCGTATTTATTACCTTCCAGTGATGGCGCCAGCTTTGGTCGCTCAGGAACGTCCTGTCACATGCATCACATTTGAGATTGCCTTTTTCAGAATATCTTTTTGCTTTGATTGCCACTTCTTCTTCACGAATCTGTTCATCAGTCCAATTATGAGCACGCCGTAGATGTTCATACAAATAGCTCAGTCTCATTGGACCACAATCACAGACTGAGCAACGGCATGACACCATCTGGAATTTTTTAAGCAAATCAGAACCATTTGTTTAAGGAACACTGACCAACCAATCAATAGTAAACAAAACTTGGGTACTAGGCGTGCAGTCGCGATACGGTTCGCCTCAGTTGCATGACCAGGCTTCGGTCTGTCTAATCTATAGTAAGAGGTTGTAACTAGACAGCAGGCTGGTAGACCATCATACTCTGTGCTATTGTGCACTATCAGTTGTAATCTACCCACGCCTCTCCGTGTTGTAATCTACACAAGTAATAGTGGAGGACCGATAGCGAAAGAAGTGCATCGGCTAGTATCCGGGGAACTATTTTTAGCAAATATTTCCGATGTTTTCGAGTGGGCCTGCTGGACGAAACGTGGATGGAGAGATTTCTCCTCGACTTGCCTACCTTCGCTTCGAAACCCGAATGGTAGCTGGTAGCATATGTAGGCACGATAACCAACAAACATGCAATAACTCGCTCCTTGTCCTACTATCAACGATCGAGACCAGTGGGTACCAGTGGGTAGAAAGGAAGTGGTCAGGAATGATGAATAATTAAAGGCCCGTCTGACTCAGAGATTGCGCACTCCAGTCACCCAACTGCAATATGCAGCGGCCGAGGCGAGCGCGACGGGAATTCCGGGGAGAAGGTACCACATCCATTGCTCCATTCTATTCATAAGTATCATCAATGTCGTAAAACATCATGTGTTAGTTACGTAGTGGTAATATGAAGCAAAATAGGATCACGATAAAAAGTTTTATCCACCCAGAGTGTTTCTTTTTGCTCGAAGGAAGTGTCCAAACTGACCGCCACGCGACCGCACGCTTGACACAGACATTCTTTGCCTACGTCATTGCGGCTTTCGCTATGATTATAAGTAGCACACGGTCATTATTGAGAGCAAACATATCTCCCAAGAGGCTTAATCAGGAGATGAAAATAGGCGTCCGAATGGAGCAATCAGATACACATGGCAATGGAAAAGACAATAACATTGGAACAGAAGATGGCTGGAGTTTGGGGGNAGTAGATTGGGAAGAGACAATTACAGAATGCTAGGCCTCAGCACGAATTCTCGGATTAAATTGTTTTATCGAGATGCTCCAACGCTTCACAATGCCTAATAATAGATTTCCTGATTTTCCTAAGCCGATACCCCTCATAGGCGATCTCATGTCAACACTTACATAGACCAATAAAAGGCTGCGGAGGGCGCGCCCACATGATTCGTCACATCGATCTAGCAATAAGGAGACTGCGTCCATGCTCATTGGTCGACTTTCTTCCGTCATCTAGCCCCACACTGCGGTTCTTCATCGCAGTAGCTAAACTGGCTTCCTGGATTTTCAATTACGATAGCAAAGCAACTGTTCTACTAATAGTCGAGCAAGGAGGAAGATGAACATGGCAGAAAGGAAAGCTTCCGGGGAGGCAAACGATGTCGATCTGCCGAGATGCGACTTTGACGGGCAGGGTGGCGTGGTCGCCACACCATTGGTTGTCACCAGATTGGCTCCGCCTAACACGCTACTCCGTTGGTCAGCCGATGCCGCGCCCAATGAATCAGCGACTTGTTTATGCATCCAACGTGCATCCTCGGAAAGTGCGCCAGCCTAAGTGGTCGTTTGATTGGACGCAACCCGACAGGGTATCGATGCT